TGTGTTTTCCACTAGACTACGAGATCATGTGCTAAGTGGCTAAGATTATTTAATTTACTCTATCTTTTTCACGAAGTTCATAATGAAAAAAATATTATGGTGGGATTCAAACCATCGACTTACCACTTGGGAGACCATTGTCTTCATCACTAGACTACAAGATCATGTGCTGAAGGGCTATGATTATATAATTTACTTTACCTTTTTCACGAAGTTCATAATGAAAAAACGGTTATGGTAAGATTCGAACCGTCCGTTTACCATTTGGGAGACCATTGTCTTCACCACTAGACTACGAGATCATGTGTTGCACAGATACTTAATATTTGATTTACTTTAAAATTTTCACAAAGTTTATGATGATAAAACGGTTATGGTAAGATTCAAACCATCGCTTTACCACTCGGGAGTCCATTTTCTTCCCCACTAGACTATGAGATCATGTGCTGAACGGCTATGAATATTTGATTTACTTTAACCTTTCCACGATGTTCATAATGAAAAAACGGTTATGGTAAGAATCGAACCATATACTTACCAATTGGGAGACCATTGTCTTCACCACAAGACTACGAGATCATGTGCTGAACAGCTGTTTAATATTTGATTTACTTTAACCTTTTCACGACGTTCAGTATGATAAAACGGTTATGGTAAGATTCGAACCATCGATTTACCACTTCGGAGACCATTCTCTTCACCACTAGACTACAAGATCATGTGCTGAAGGGCTATAAATATTTGATTTACTTATCTTTTTGCGCGATGTTCATAATGAAAAAACGGTTATGGCAAGATTCGAACCATCGACTTACTACTTGGGAGGCCATTGTGTTCGCCATAAGACAACAAGATCATGTGCTGAAGGGCTATAAATATTTTCTTTTTGCGCGATGTTCATAATGAAAAAACGGTTATGGTAGGATTCGAACCATCGACTTACCACTTGGGATACCATTGTGTTCTCCAATAGACTACAAGATCATGTGCTGAAGGGCTATGATGATTTAATTTACTTTATCTTTTTCACGAAGTTCATAATGAAAAAACGGTTATGGTAAGATTCGAACCATCGATTTACCACTAGGGAGACTTTCGTCTTCACCACTAGACTGCAAGATCATGTGCTATAGGGCTATGATTTTTTAATTTACTTTATCTTTTTCACGAAGTTCATAATGAAAAAACGGTTATGGTAAGATTCGAACCATCGATTTACCACTTCGACTGAGATCATGTGCTGAGTGGCTATGAATATTTGATTTACTTTAATGTTTTTGACAAAGGAAATAATGAACTAGGGATCCAAGGATAGTGCAAAGTTTTCATGCCCTGTAATACCTAAGCAACCAGACGTTTGTCCCAACATAGACATTTTGACTTATGCCAGTAAAAATATAACGAACTAGGTTAAACATTAATCAAAAGGAAATTACTCAAAGTACTAAATTACGTTAGCTGCGGATACTGTCACTATTAAATTATAGCTAATTTTAGTTGCCCATGTAAACCGGCCAAACCGGGCGCGATTTTCTCAGTGTAGTCTCTTTTCTTCGTCAAACAACTGTGACTACATTCACTACATTTATATGATGGCTACAATTTATCCGTCACTTCATAAGAATAGCCAAAATAGTTGCGTTGGAAATAATGTAAATAAACCGCGGTGCATATTATGTCTATGATGTGGATATACCTCGACGCGTAAATCGATACAAAACAATATACTTATAATCAATACTGTATACCGCCAAAATGATTTGATTACTGCACAAAATGTCCGTTTTGTGTAGTATCATTTATGTACTGTATGCAGAATATCAGGCATCGACTTGTTATCGACATAATATACATTCGTGTAAAAGTCTATCAATACATAAACAACACAGCATCGTTTCTTCCTAACCTCTTAGCTCTATTTATGGAATAAACCTCCAAATTATATTTGTGTTAAATTGAATGCTCGTAATTCATAACATAAGTTGATAAAGTGCGTAGATTCTCAAAGAATTGCTCGATTTTTACGCCCGGAATGTTTTGAAGCAATGCTCATCGCTCCTCGTTTCTTTACATCGTGAATAATGTTCAAGTCTGGACGGCACATGCGCAGTTGCGACGTATAAGAAAGAATCGGGTGTTCCGGGGGGTAATACTGTGCAAATCCCTTTAAAACAAAAACCAAACCGCGGAAAAGCATTGCTTCAAAATTTACAGTAACCGCCAAAATCCCTCAATATTTTGGTGAACTTTGCAAAAGGGGTATAGTGCATTAATAAATAAAGCAAGTTAAACTGATTTAAAAACCTTAAATTACTGATCATATACAAAAAGTTGCTATACGCATAAATCAACCTACCCCCCCGTAAAGTTTACACTATGACTTACTGACTGACTTACTGACTCGTTTGAATTTTCGCCACTCATCACAATACTGCAAAGTTTCTCAAACTTTGCACTAAAAAGGGTTATGGTAAGATTCGAACCATCACGTTCATGTGCTGAAGGGCTATGATTATTTAATTTACTTTATATTTTGCACAAAGTTCATAATGAAAAAACGGTTATGGTAAGATTCGAACCAGATTCGGACGTTCCTGGACTCGAATCCCAAGTTTTAAAAATGGGAGAGCATTGCGTTCACCACTAGCCCAGTAGAACTTCAGGAGTGTCACTACACTGTTTTATTTTTACCTAATTTTTTATTTTACACAACCTTTTTTCGAAGGAAGTTTAAATACGTTTGCTTTGATGATGATGATTTCTATTTTGTCTAAAACGCACAAACGTGAATCTTATTCGTGGCTTTAACCTAATTGATTCATTTCTGCTGACGCTACCGGGTGTCCCAAAAAAAGTACTTATTTTTAATTCAACATAACTTAAAAACGAACTAAAGAATTACAATAAAATAATCCATGTGCAGTTGAGTAATGTCTAACTTAAAGTTTGATATATTTCATATGAAGTTTGAGAAAGTAGTTTCCGAGATATTTGCGTTTAAAGACACAGTAACGTTTTGAAATGTGTCAAAAATCAGCAAAAAATGGCTTGTTAAATGCAACAATCCGATATCTACAGGGGCAATTTCCTGGTCGACTCATGAGTAAACGCGGCGATTGGCCATGGCCTCCACGCTCCCCTGACCTGACCGTGTGTGATTTCTTCCTCTGGGGCTATTTAAACAGCAGATTTGGGAAGTTCCTCATGACCAACAACCTCAAAACTTGGGAGATCTTCGCGAGGCGATTGTTAGGTCATGTCGCTATTTGGACGCCCACATGATTCAAAGGTCTTTTGATAGAATGCTGAAACGGGCAAGAAAGTGCGTTGCTGCTGGTGGACATGAATTTGCAGATGAATTAGAGCAAGTAAAAAACGATTTTTAAAAAAACAACTAAAAAATAAGTTACAAGATACCATGTTACGAACCGGTATTGTTGAAACAAGTTTAATAGGCCATTTTTTCCTGATTTTTGACAAGTTTCAAAACGTTGCTACGACTTTAAACGCAAATATCTCAGACACTACTCGTTCAAACTTCATATGTAATATATCAAACTTTAAGTTAGACATTACTCCACTTAATATGGATTGTTTGATTGCAATTCTTCAGTTTGCTTACAAGTTATGTTGAATTAAAAACAGGTACTTTTTTTGGGCACCCGGTATAATATCACAGGTATGGAGACCATTGAGAAAAGGAACAGCGTTATTTCACAATAAGCTAGTTATATGCGGCCCAGGTGAAGCAAATGGTTACGGTGCGATTGTTTTGTATTTTTAATGAAGTCAAGTCTGATTTCACAGGTCACAAATTAAAATTTGAGGAAAATGCTAATTCAGATTCATTCGAATGTCTCAACATTTTCCACTTATTTCATAGCTGAAATTGTACTCCAAATCTCCATTATAACGCAACAGATATTAAATAACTCTACTTCTCTTAAGCTGCGTTTACACGGTACCATCCGCTCGTCACAACATCTTCGTTTCCATGCAGCGTACACCTAAGATCCTATAAGACACAGTCACTGTCGGTCACAGCACGGCTACCATCCCCAGTCTGATTTATTTCTATCAATTTCTTTCTTATATTACATCCCGTCAATTACGTATCACAATCGCTTAATCATCATGTTCCTCTAGCAAATTGTAGTTACAAGATTATGTATTGCGACATGTATTATTTACGCAATCATTTTGATCGAGCGCCACACTTTCTTCTCACATTAGTTTTGGTCCCGAAAACGTTAAAAGTTGATACAGAAACTACGATCAAAATCTCCCGATTCCTGACCAGGACAAACAAACCAGGACAAGCAAACTTTCCCTGCTCAGTAGGCATAAAGTAAGGTTTTAGATTATCGTGATGGACCATGAACTCTCGACCTGTTTCTGATCTAATCTTATAATTTACGCCTAGTCTTCCTAAAATAGCGTGAGGTCCAAGCTATTTGGGACAGAATTTCCACTCCTTTGGCCGCCTAAGCCATACATGCTCAAGCCATACAAAATCTAGTTTCCTGCTGACCCAGCAAGTCCGACGAAGCGAGGAGTCCTTGGAAGGATCGCGAAAGTTTATGATCCTCTCGGGTTGATTTCGCCCATTATTCTGCAAAGAAAGTTTCTCTACCGCGAGTGTTGTGACGCTAAGGTCCCCTGGGATGCCAAACTGCCTCGTGAGTTAGAAGCTAGATGGACGGCGTGGGAGAAAAGCCTACAGAGAACGTGACCGCAACAATTAAGGAGTCTAGCTAAGTTCCAGTAGCCAATTGAAGATACAGGTCATTAGATCAAGATCATTAGATCTGGTCGCACACGAAAGACAGTATAGAACTTAATGCTTTAGATTTTAACATATATTTCGAACAGTTGCGTTAAAATTAGAATTCAATCAAGTTAACATTTATTGGGACGGTGAACACTGAACGAGGCACAACTTTTTATATTCTAAACTTTTTATATTATAATAGGGGGGGGTGTTGGAAATTATGCGGAAATAGAATGATTATTATAATGCATGCAAACGTCATGGGTATAAATTAATACTGCATGGGGATCAATAGTAAGTAAGAAAATTGGATAATTAAGGACAGATTGGAAGTGAGGGTTAAACATAGCCTCTAATGGCATTCCCAACACAGCCTCCTACTGCCATGAATGACCGGTCTTGTTAAAAACAAATATTATAGGTAAATAAAAATATCTACAATCCCTCGCGAACATCTTCGTCTTATATATTATAATTTCTTATCTTCGCTTTTACCTGGGAGGGTGTCCATTTCCCAGCTGCCTTGACAGACAGCGCAGCCTTGGAACACTCTGGCTTGAGATGCACGTGACTAGGCTGACCTTTGACCGTGAAACTGTCCGTAGTTGAGAAACTTTCCCGAAGCTGAGACTTGCTGACTTCGTCCCCGCGATGGGTTAATCCAGGACTGTCCTCGTCTAGTAGTTTCCAGACATCTTGTAACGACGCGCGGTCGTCTGATGAGAACGAAGGTTTCCATAACGAGACGATGTCGTCACGAACAGTAGACGATTCCGGTAGGCCTGCTTTTTCTGCGAGTTCCGTGTTTGAAGAGTGTTTTTGAAGTTTTTGGGCCGACGCGGAATTCTTTTTCCGAGGAGATAGCGAATGCTGATCATTATTCCTCGCTAGTGTTCTCTGTGCATACTGCAGTTCTTTGCTTGTTAGTTCATATTGCAACTGTTCCAAACCCCGTAGTTGGGATCGGGATGTTTGCGCCACATTCTGCGGATCTTTGGATGATTGACTTGCCTCAATTGAAGGCGATTTTTTCCCTCCTAATATATAACGATAGAATAACATTCTAAAATCAAAACGGTGACAGCGGTACACTAAATATAATCGATTTACCACGAGATTACTTATTTCAGCATCTCTCATTATACCAAAGCCGCCACGCTGCAGAGAAACAAGAAATTTTCGTGTTCTCAATAATTGTAGTTTTTCTCAACTTCTATAATATAGGTTTAAACTTTTGTTCCTAACAATTTATCAAAAATGTTTTAAAGACGCTCTGCAAAACAATTTTATTTCATATTTCAATGCAAGGACGCATTAAACGAATGTTTAGTCCACCCGTTTTCGGTACATTTTCAAGTACAAGTTTAACTTATATCTTACAATTACCTCGCATGTTTTCTTTCAACAGTTCCAATTGAAGTTTTTCGCCATATGCTTACAACCGACCGGCGTTTGCCCAGACGTTTTTCCGCGGTGTTCTGGGGCCCGGTCACGTGTCACTACCCTACATGCGGTAGTGACGTAATCATCGCGGGATCTCTTTGCACATGCAGTTAGTCTTTTGCGAACAACAGAAGCTACGCGTCATGATTATAGGAAAAATGTATTCAATTCATTCTTACAGTAATTCATTTCGACTAACGTCTATATATTAATGCAATATTAATACATACTCCAAAATATCCTTCAAATACCTTTATATTTCAACAATTCAGCTCTCAGCTTATTTCCCATTTTAATCAACTGTTTGCGTTCTTTTGTTAATCCATTATTCCGTTGAGCAGCTTGACGTAGTTTGGTGTGTAATCCTTCAGATGACGATACTACACCCTTCATACCAGGGACTTCTGAAAAAAAAGGAAAACGTTTAAAATTCAAATCTTGACTAAATCATTCAGAATTTTATGAAGTGAATTTAGGGTTTGTTATGTGTTGATGAGAAATGTTGATGAGAAGTTTTACAGCCGCAATCAATTTACTGTTTTGGAAAAGGTCGTAATTTACAAATTGTGAACGGGTTTGAATGAAATATATCTCCATAGACAGGCGTCATAGCTATATCACGCTATTTTAAGTGGATCAGAACAGCAAGGGATATGCATTTTATATATTATCTAACAACTGACAGTGGTTGGGTTACATCACAATCTATACGTTTCAATTAATTCAGTAGATTTAGAATGTTCTACGGCAGTCGTGATTGTTAAGATTCTAAACACAAATAAAGATAATATTTCAAAAGCGTCAGACAGTACACTCACCTTTCTTTCGAAGGTCTTGTATAAACTGATTTTCTGGATTGTACGTATTCAAAGGTTTTCCGTGACTAGCAAGATCCAATTTTAATGCTGACAACAGCAGAAAAGCAATGAGAAAATGCAATCATCTGCTGCCTGTCACACAATTCTTGACTAGATGTTGCTAATACTTCTACCTCGGGTAGTTTATCTGCGACAAACATTAACCCATACTTTCATAAACAATCTCTGCAGAAACTCAAATTTCTGTCTATAAAAACACCGAATACAAAAATTTCGGACATTACGCTCTCAAAACAGATAAATATCAAACGATTATCAGTAATTCTTCCTTATCCACACTCTCGCCTGTAAGCTGTGTTACACTCACAATCATTGAGTGTGACATACAAATTTTGTCATCACCGATCAAAGAGAAAGTTATTTCTTAATCGATACAAAGATTTAACGAAAAACACTGAGCTCTTATTTGAGTGGAGATACCGCCATGGAAATGTTATGACTCCCACTCAACAAGTTCGAGTGCGCTTTTAAAATACAATAGTTCCTCGCTAACTCGAACTCCCTAAGGGAAAGGAAAATTGTTCGAGTTACGGGGGGTTCGAGTTAACCGGAGTTGGTGTCATATTACGTTTATTATATATAAGTAATACAATAAGGTATAATATCCAATCGAATCATTCTTCAAGAGATATCATGCCTACCAATATGAATGATCACCGAAACTGGACCAAATTTTTAAAACTAAAAGATCGAAAGAATACAAAAGGAACTAAAAAAGCTAGATCAATAACGACCGTTGCGCTATACAAAATCTTTTAAAATTTATAAGCATTTATATACAATTATACACTGATTAACTTTTTATTATTTCGATAGTTTCCGGTCCAGCATATGGCTGTCACAAGTGATATCTTAGGTTCAGCATTATAGCTGCTCGCTTTGTTGCTCAGTGAATCACCCAGGATGTTACTGACATTCCTGCCCTCCGGCTGATAACTAATCAAACCCTCTCTTAACTGCTTGCGGTTTTAAAAGCACATATAAATTTCGTTCGGTTTTGCATTAACCAACAACACGGTAAAGTACAATTGAAAGTGGGTTCACCGTTAAGCTTCAGACTGTGATACATTTACACGTTTAATTTGTTTTAATGTTATATACCTAAAGAATGTCTTTATTATATCCATTTTGCATCTGCGATCTAGTTATTTAACAATATCATTGAACTAACCTGGTTTCCTAATGATACAGCATCAATATTTCTCTCCAAACCCGTTTTGTAAAATTCGTCAGCCTGGTGTCTTTTTTGGGTTACCTTGAGATCAGAGTTCTGCTGCTTCAAAGCATTCATTTCTTCGTTGGCCCGACGATTCCCTGTTGTCAACTGATAGTGAAGTTGATATGTTTAGTTGCTTCTGACGAACCTGAAAAAAGAAATTGCGTTGAGATATAAGATAGATAGATAGATTGTTTAATAAAATTTTTACATCGCAGCCCAAAATAGCTGAATTGCCCAAAAATTTACAAAATATAAATTAACTGTATATGTATATATATATATATATATTATATATATATTATATTATATTATATATAATATATATATATATATTATATATATATATATATATAATATATATTATATATATATATATATATATATATATATATATTATATACAGACATACAAATACTAACAATACTAACTTTTTTCATGCAGGAATGATTTCATGCATGAGTGATTGCTCGGGTGATTAAACTAACAATGGTGTTGTGAAAAAAGTTACTCAAGCTGCGAGTTAAACGGAAAAAAGCCCACGTTTACGCAGTTGCGCGGCTGACTTAATTTTCATCAAAATTTCTGAAATTTCGATTCTTTGTAAACAAATACCCAAACGTTCAGCCCTTGAATTCAAATTGGATTTTAAACCTCTCATTCATGTTTGCACAAGCCATTCAAAATGATGCTTCCACAAACCGCTCTTCCATTTTTCGAGGTTAATTTTTCTGTTTGTTTTTAGTGTTAGAATGACCAGAAGATGCCAAAGTACCCATACTAGCACAAATCTATGAGATATTTTGATAAATTTATAGTTTTCTAAACATTTCAAAATTGTCTACTTTTTTTTTATACACCCTGTATAGTCAGCAGGAATGCCTGAACGCCTAAGCAAAATTAAGGAATACAAACGTTTGTTGGCTTTCTTCACAACATAGTTGACATGATCAATCCATTCCAGTGAGTTAGATACCATGACACCCAATATCTTGGCACTGCTCACTAGCTCGTACCCTGTGGGACACCAGATGGAATTGCACCCCATTCAGAGAAGCAGTCGTTGCACAGTTTGACACGTTGCAGCCTGTTCGATAAAAAGTCGCATACCCAGCGAGCTACACCACGTGGAACATTCAGGGAAAGAATCTTTTGAACTAGGATCTGGTGGTCGATGAGATCAAATGCTTTCCTGTAGTCTAACAAGACGATCTTCACCGCTGCACCAGTCCCATCCGTGGCAGAAGCCCATGTATAAATCATGGAAATAAGAGCATGCGTGGTTGATGATTTTGGAATAGCGCCATATTGCTTGGGATCGATGATTTCGAGGACGGCAGGGCCAATATAATATCTTACGATAAAGTCCTCAGCTAGCTTTGATAGAGACGGAGTTAACGAGATAGGTCTGATGTGCTTGGTGATTACAGTCACAGGTTTCGTCTTTGGCAGTGGTGTTACATTTGCGTACTTCCATGATGGAGGGAGAGCTTGTTCGGCAAATGAGCTATTGAGGATGACACAGACTGGGTTTGCGAGAAACTCGGCATAATCTTTAAGGAGCCAGTTCGGCACGCCGTCTGGGCCAGAGGCTTTTCGAGGGTTAAGCCTTACTAGTGCTAGGTAAACTGAGGAGTCTTCGAGTGTTAGAACTTCCGAATCATTATCAACAGGAGGAAGACTGTCAAGTGGTTGATAATCCTGCATCGGTTCTAGTAGGGCAGTGTTTATGAGGTCGGCAATATCCTTGTTCGATTTTCCATCAAGTCCATCAACATGAAGTTGGGCGCGAAAATCCTCGGTTGGCGTTGCTGGGATCATTTCTGATAACTTTTTGATCTCGTTCCACCACTGACTTGGCTTAACATTCATGAGATTCGCATCTCTCGAGGTGTAATATCTGCTTCGGAGCACTTTGCGTTCACGATTAACGGCGTTGCGAAGTTGGCAGAATCGTTCTTGTACTCCTTGTGTGTAGGCTTTCTGGCGTAACTTGATGAGCTTTTTAAATTCAGGAGTTACCCAGGGAGGATCATTGACATGTAATTTAAAAGATTTGAGTGGCATGATAGTGTCTACGCCAATTTTAACAAGGTCAAGAAACAGTGCTAGTTTGTTTTTGCATCCATTAACAGAAGCGAGAACGGACCAGTCAATAGACCTCAGATATCTACCAAGTTCTTGTCTTCGACTTGAACGAGTGTCTCTTCGAGTAACAAAGCGACGGCTAGATGTGAGCACAGGTCTTAGTTTAGGCTGCAATAGTAACACTGAATGGTCAGACAAGCCAAATGGTGGAAAGCTCTGCACCGATTTTTTGTCATTGATCATCAATGCTTGACACAGCTTTCTAAAATCCAGGAATGTAGCACTCGAAAACCAGCCCCATTTACACTATGGACTAAATTTATCGGCACGACATATGTTACTGCTAATAAATACACACAATAAAAATACGAGAACATACATCACAAACATTCTCAGCGATGACGGATAAAAATACAAGTGCATTAAAACAGAAGCCTATAGCCATTTAGAGAAGAAGACTCACCTCTTCTGAAGAATGATGAAGTAAACATTGAAGATGAACGATAATTGCTTTACATTTTCCCAATTGAGATGTAAGATCTAATTTCTCTTGGCGTAAACTACCTAAAGACGTGCAAGAATATATATTGTGAAATAGGCAATTATATTATATACCTTATCTAAAATTCTAATCGGTTAATACAGAATGCCGTTCGTGCGATTCCCACAATTTAAGTTACCATGGTCAATAGTACAATGCGATTGGAATATCACCTCTTAAAAAAATCTTAATCCTTGGTACTCCAGTTGTGTCTTGCAAAAAAATACAGGCAGGCATTTTTTTCAAATTTTCACTCGGGTAAATTCTCAGGGCTAATCAACATGCTAGTGTTTTTTTAATGACCTACAGAATTACGCAACTTGAAAGTCAAATATTTGACTTAACGGAAATATTTGCAATAAAGATAGTCAACAGTTATGTAACTCGGTGTAATAAATCAGCAGATCGAGGCAATGTATGTAGGGGTTGTTTTTTATGCTACCCGCGCGCGGAGTGAAAACCCGCAGAAATTATTCAGGACATAGGTTAAACGTTCAACTATAACTATTCAGATAACACAATAAAACTGCTGGGTATGCGGGGGATGAGGTAATGTTTCAATTTAATGATGCTATATGTTTAAGCTTTGTAACTTTTTGAACTGCTGTTGTATGGTTGAACTTTTTTATGTATTACTTACCGATTGTGCTGTTCAGCTGTGCCACCAGACCTCTTATATGAACATTATCCTTACTTCAATCTAAAACGTAATTAGTATTTTCAGTTTTAGCATTTGTATTCGCCATGGATTGGGTCAGTTCGCGGTTTCTCGCCTTCACTTCTCGAATTTATTTTTCCAGACTTGTCACATATTCTGAAATGTTTCGTAAAGAAATACCAGATTAATTCCATTCACACTGATCTTTGTTACGATCACTATAACGATTAGTCATCTTATGCATTAGTAATCGATCCAGTGGTACCTTTAACTGTTTCGTCAAATCCTCCATGTCCTCTCCCATTTGATGAATAACATGACGCAAATTTTCGTTCTGAACTTGAAGTTCTTCATTATTCATATTCGCTGCTGCTGTGCCAACATCTTCGACTGTAATAAGAAAAGATAAGTCTGAACTTAAGCAAAAAAGGACGAAAACGTCATGCATTTACCACACTTGAGATTTGAGAAACATGCATGAATGATAAAATCTAGCGAAATGATAAAATTTTGCGAATCCATGGGGGGAGGTATCGATGTAGAGGTTTCAGATTCGCGAGCACAGGGTAGGTCCTAAATTAAAAAAAAACTCAAAAGAATTTTGGAATGTGTCAAGTGTTTTGGACATCTTGCGACAGTTACCTCGTCAAGCATATCAGCTGGCTTTTAAGTATAGGCACTATGAGAGGAGCATGATTCGACTTGTAATCTACTTTGAACAACTTTATTACGGCGAATAACAGAGACTGAATATGGAATCGATATTACCATCGAAAATTTTTCGAGGATTTTACACTTCGTCACACCTTGTACAAAATTTTGTTCAATTTACATCAATTCCTCTATTTGTGTTAATCTCCCCAGCTGCCAGAGGAGCTAGGGCCCCATATACGCCGTATAAAAACCGAACGCTAGGCGTTTACGATCTACCTACAATCAAGGTGTAAAACTCACCTGATATTTGGGAAGGCACGGTTAGTCCATGAAGCTTGAGGATAGAAACTGATTCATCTCTTTGTGTCTTCAAAATGTGGATAACACTATCCTTGTGAAGCAGTTTACGTTTCTGTTGTTTCACTAACGATAACGCCTGATGTGAAAAAATACAGAAGAGTTCTATCAACCTGAATGTTGACATTGAAGTCCCTGATGATCAGTTTAGTAACATTATATCACTTCATATGGACCTTGTGGGGCTGAAACTTCAACGGGATTTCAAATTGAGTGGGGGTAGGGTAGAGGCAATGGAAAGGGGTATAACATTTTACTATTTACATATTCATATATATTCACCTCTTCTTCGCCTTGTGTTAAATTCTTAACCAGTTTTTCTTGTTTATCATACCCAGTTCTCTCTGTCTCTTCACATCTGCGCTGCTAATCTAACTCTAGCTGAGCCCTAGAACGTTCCAACGACGACTCTCTCTCCAAAGATAAAGACAACTCTTTCTGCCTCCTAAAGAAAAAAATTGTTGGATCAAGACCTGAATTTACATCTGTAATAGAAATCTTCAATACGATAAACGACTAGTAATATCAACACAAAATAGGATCCGTAAATTGCGGGTATGTTTTTTTTACGACTTTCGATCAAACTTTTTCACTTTTTCTTTACCTTAAAATATCGTTTGTTATCAATCCTTATTTACACTGTAGTACAATTAGCAATTATTGAATGAGGTTGAACATGATGTGAAGAATTATCAAGCCGAAGTTTGTCATTATCAACCGAAGCCGAAGGCTGAGGTTGATAAAGACAAACTGAGACTTGATAATTCTTCATATCGTGTGAAAACCGAATTCATTATATGTTTTATTATTTATTTAAAAGAATGAACATGTATTCCTCAAAGTTGCCGAACCTTTCACTTGAGGAAGCCATTGTGTTGATGTCTTCACCATTCGTGTGACGTCAAACGTGGGATACGACTATTTATCACACTAAAAAAGTCGTATCACACGTTATGACGTCACACGTTGGATATGACGATTTCACACATGGCTATTAGCCAATTACAGACTGTGAATTCTTTAAAATAAATAATAATATTAATGAACACATATATTTGCACTTCAGCCCAGCAAATGAGGTGTTTTAGACGGATGGATTAAATGGCTTCAAATAATAACCAGGTTTATCTGATCAGATATGTTTAAGCCCCGTGAAAAATCACCTCATACGGTGAGCATGCAATTATTGAGGAGCGTTTTACGATAGGTCGGAATTTAACAACAATCGAGAAAAGAAAGTTATATTCAACGTTTATTCGCACCTCTCAAAATCATTTTTTCTCTGCGCGAGTTCAGATCACATCTTGGCATCCTGTTGATGCAACGTTTCCAATTCAACATCCTTTGCTACAGTTAATCTGGAATATTCCTGGTTCTGTTGGTCCATGTTGCTCTTTAAGTTTGCGATTGATTGATTTAGCCTGTGTAATAAAAAATCAAGTCGTTCCTCTCGAATTGTTAAAAAGTTGTCGAATTTCAACATCAACTTGTTCAAAAGCACTATTCTTGAACGGATGAATTCATGAAAGTCATAATAAGGCGTTCCAACAGCCCGGTATTATAGGTTAAATATGGTTTTTCGGTTCAAAAGCGGATATATTCTAAGTTTTGAAATAGAAATGCCCTGTGGCAGAGCTTAGATTAGTAAAAATAAATTAGAACAGCTCACATTTGTATTTTGGACATATTGAGGATTAAAAATACTTTCAAAAAAAGCTACTCGTAGACACGAGACACGAGTAATGAACCTTTGGAGGTTCACAATCGAAATATATAATCCATTTCGACTTACGCCAGATCCGTCAATGAACATACATTGGTACAGAAATCAGAAATGCATAATGTGATTGATTTAGGTAAGAACCCATTTCAATATACATGGTCTTGACCCCCGTCCCTCCCCCCTGAGGAATTTCATAAAGCTTACGTATGTATTGTGACATCACTTTCCTTCAGTTTGTCCAAAGTCTCCATTCCTTTTGACGATATGTTCCTGTTCTTTAGCTTCGAGTTGGTTTTGTAATTTGCGAATATTCTGTTGAAGTTGTCTTTCTTCCTCAGTGAAACCCTGGAATGAACAATCACAGGTTTAAATAATGTTAAAGCATCATTGGGATGATCGATATATAGCTAATATACCAGGAGTGTATATACGGCTGTACATACAGGGTGTCCCAAAAAAAAGTCCCCCCTATTGAAATGAAGCCTTTGTTGATTTGAATGCATGATCAACGCAGTAGTGTGTAAATAGCATAGTTATTAGGTTGAGGCATTCAAATAAAGCGTCTTGCTTTCAATTGGGTTTATCATAATATTAAGGCAATCAGATTCTAACAAAGGCTTGATTTCAATAGAGGGGACTTTTTTTTGGGACACCCTGTATTGTATTGTACAACCCAATTGTTGCGTCTTTTCAATAACTAGACACTCAAAAAACTACCACAAGAATTAATGTTTGGTATCTTGTTCTACGTGAACATTTCTTTGTTGGGGTTTTGTCCATAATGAAGCGACTTGCAAATCGCTGTAACCACAATGTTAAGGCCCTGTTACACTGCGCAATTTTTCTTGCAACTTGCAGTGCAATTCTACTTTTGAGAGATGTATGTAAATTTGGGAATAACAAAACTTTTGTGTTCATACACTTCACGCACTTTTCTTCTGCAAGACTAATAATTTAAATATCTTAGCAGTGCAATTGCATTGCAAGTTGCAAGAAAAATTGCACCGTGTAACATGGCCTTTAGTACTAATTACCAGTGAATTCGAATTATGGCAGTCTGAAAGGGATGTCTAAATAGAAATCCATTCTGCAGAATTTCATAGATTTTATTTATCAACAAACCAAACTTAGATGCAATTCTCATGCAACATGCAATGATCATAGTTAACTGGTTTGAGTTATTCGAAAAACAGGTCATTTGATCTGAAGGTTATGTTCATCTAAATAATTGTTAATGAACAGGCATATTGAGGTTTTTATGGTTTTAGGCAATGGAAGAATTTTCTGAAAAATTTCACAATCTAGAGAACAAAGGTCCTGTGTTTGCCGTTTGCCGAGGAAAAGTATGGGGTCTACTGCATTTTTCCATCGTATTAACACCAAAGTCTTTAAACACAGACATTTAAGACAGCTTGTCAGGTTTAAAACCTTGTACAATAATAAGCTGTAAGTTAATCTGCTGAAAATGTGTCAGATTTGGTGGAAACAGGTATTAATTTCATGTCCAGAGTCAACAAATATAATCCTTGATTCTAATTAAAATCCTCTAGTATAAGTAAACAGCAAAAAGTCATTTTCATATTTCAAGAAAGAAAACTCATTTTAATGAGTTCAAATTTTTTTGAGAGAATTATGAGAAAATTTTCTTAAAATAAGAAAAGTTGCACACAAATAATTTTTCAGTTTAAGAAAATTTTCTTGAAATTAGTCCAAAATTTCTTATAGAATGTTTATAATGAGAAAAATTTTCTTAAAATATTTTTCTTAATATAAGATATATTTCCAAGAAAATATTTTCTTATTATAAGATAAGTTAATTCTCAAGAAACCCTAGAAACTCTGACATGATATTTTGTTACATGTATGAATGTAATGTAAATTTACTAAAATATTCATGAGTCATAATATAGAATACACAGCAGACATTAATACATGAGAATTATAGGTCCTACATGATTATATAGAAATACAGAGAAATGATCATATATAATATTGCACCCAGGCTTTGAAGGTTATGTATTTGTCCAGTGCTTATTTGACATGTTTTTAAATATCAATTATTGCAGTACAGATCAATTATTGCAAAAGATTTTTGTCGTCCTTAAAATCAGATGAGACATCATCAGATAAAGTTGAGAGTAAAAATTGTGAAAAAACCTAAGTTCACACTTAAAAAAACTTTGCAATCGTGTTAGGAATTGAGTACATCAAACAAAAAATACTAGTAAATAATAATTTAGCTACTGTGGGAATTTTAAGCTATTCTTTAGCTATCCCCTGCTATACCGGCATCTTTAAGAAAACTATTTTAAGACTATTATCAAATATGCCCATCCTACAACCCATTCTACACTGCTTTTCTACCTCCCTATGATAGTGTAAATTCCAATCAATTCACCATGTAAATGCATGTAATTGATTCAAACAATATATAGATAGAGGTCTTATCCAATGAAATCAAATTGTGTTAAATCCAAAAACTGTCCCTAACAAGATATGGATGGATAAATGTATCTGAAGGCAAAAAAGAGAGCTTTGTGATAATTTTAATGATATAGGCAGACTCTGATGCACAATTTATACCCTTTGGAACAGTCCCAACCCTGCTGTGGAAAAGCACTGTTACATTAACCCCTCTCGATTTAGTATCAATCTGAAAATATAACTCAACTCTTTATAATATCCTACATTTCAAACAAAGACATTAGAAACACTGCCATATGCTGCTCCTTCGTTATATATATCACAATATTGGACTATTCTATTTTGCTCCTCTGAGGTATTCTAGCCAGGCCATAATTGCTGAGGAATTCTAAGGTATTGTTTAGCTATCACTACATATATATATATATATATATTATATATATATAATATAATATATATATATTATAAATATATATAAATATATATATTATATATATGTTATATATATATATATATATATTATATATATATATATATTATATATATATATATATATATATATATATATATATATATATATATATATATACATATATATATATATACACCCATTTGCAAAAACGTTGGCCGCAGATAGATAGATAGATAGATACTCGAAGTCTAATTAGAAATGCATATGACTAGATTTGCATGGGATTTCAATCATATTACACAACATATGCAATTCTAATTAGATTTCGAGTATCTATCTATCTATCTATCTGCGGCCAACGTTTTTGCTAATGGGTATATAATAATAATATATATATATATATATATATATATATATATATATATATATAAATATATATATATATATATATATATATATATATATAAATATATATATATATATATATATATATATATATATATATATATATATATATATATATATATATATATATATGTATATGTATATTATGAGCATTTTCTTATTTTAAGAATATATATTTCTTATAATTATATTATATATATATATATATATATATATATATATATATATATATATATAATATATATATATATATATATATGGGTAAGAGTTATGGTGTTCATGAGGTTTAGAAAACACAAACACATCCTGATAACAGATCTCAAAAAGAATTGATACGAGCCTCGGATGTTTTACAAGAAACTCGTGTGTTTCTTGACGTTTAGGTCAGCGAAGGTGTCGATTTTAGTGATATCAACGGTCGTACTGTCGTCATAACTGGACTACCATATCCACTGGCTTTTGATTCAAAGGTGGTTTCAATTAACCACCTAGCTAATGCTGTTTTAATATTCGCAAAAGTAAATTGGGAAACGAGTATCTTTTGAATATCTTTCATCCGATAATAGAAATACGCTTGGATTTCTGGTTACTCAAGTTTGATTTATTAATAATATGGCTTTTCAAGATCCTCTACTCTGATTGGTTGGTCGTAAAACACATATCCGTCGGTCAATAATCAGTTATTATTACTCCAACAATGGTAAAAATCCATTATTATCTCTAGACATCTTCTCCAAAGTTCAAAAAACATTTTTTTGTTTTCCCTCGCATTTCAGGTGGAATTGAAAAAACAATTCCTAGATGAGGTGGTAAACAAAAGAGAATTTAAGGTTGGTTATAAAGTGGTTCTAATCATTATAATTTTTTTAAGAAAATAAACGAAACGAGATATGTGGCAATTCGGAACTCCAAAGTTAATTTAGCCCGTGTTCAAATCTCTATATAATTCGTGACTGTATATCATCTGAGTCATATATAATTGTTTATTCCATTACTACCGCAAAGTTTCATAAACTTTTTCTGAGTCAGGAACAAATTTATTTAACTCATAATCGTGTATTTTTATGGATTAAATGGTCAACAATGGTATGGTCAGCGGGCATCTCGAGCTGTCAATCAAGCCATTGCTCGTGCATTTACGTCGTAAAAAAGGTTTTGTGACGATTTTGGGTCGGATTACACAAAACTCTGCTAGATGACCCGCATCCGTTCTAATCTGATACCTAGGCTCATTTTCCAAGGTTCTGCCAAGAAAGAACAAAAGCGGAACTGCCAAAAATGATGTATAGCGGTATATTTGTATATATCCGACGTTTGGAGGCCTTCAGAGAGAGTTCAGACGAGCAACTGAATTAGTGAGTTCTTAATTGAACTATAATAAAGAACTATAATAATTTTTACGCCACATCAATAACTTGAAACAGCTTATAAGATCAATGGTTGTACTCTGACGAACATTGCTATCCGTGAATTGGTTAAGTTTTTGAAGAACGAAAATCATGAGAGTAACGACCGTGAACTTACTAAACTATATTTGAGTGGCAATCGTTAAACAGCTGAAGCTGCTAACGATTTATGTGATGCTCTGAAGAGTGGCACCTGTAAATTTACCAAGCTAAATGTAAGAGGCAGTGTTTAACAGCTCAATGTGAAAATATTTAAGTGATTGCTCTAAAGAGTGGCACCTGTAACTTACCAAGCTAATTTAGCTAAATGTAAAGAGCAGTGGTAATAAACTGCATGTAAGTGGCAATAATTTAACAGCTCAAGGTGCAAAATATTTAAGTGATGCTCTGAAGAGAGGTAGCTGTAAACATAAAAAAACTAGATGTAAGCGGCAATGGACTAACAGCTCAAGGTTCTGAATATTTAAGTGATGCTCTGAAGAGTGACAACTGTAAACTTACTAAATGAGATGTAAGTGACAACGCTTTAACAGCCGAAGGTGCAAAATATTTAAGTGATGCTCTGAAAAGTGACAAATGTAAACTTACTAAATTAAATGTAAGTCGCAATGGTCTAACAGCTGAGGGTGCTAAATATTTAAGTGATGCTCTGAAGAGTGACAGCTGTAAACTTACTAAACTAGATGTAAGCTAGTGTCAATGATTTAATACCTGAAGGTGCTAAATTTTGAAGTGCATGATGCTCTGAAGAGTGACAACTGTAAACTGATTTACTAAATGTAAAGTCCTAGTGGCTGCAATCAGTTTAAAATGCGTAAAATGTTGTCAAATGTTCTTGTTGAGACTTACGACGACTTGTCTCTTGTACAAACAATTTTTTTTTCAAACAAATTTTTTTTCCCGATTTTTTGGTCGATTATATTTTGCCCAACTGGATGAGACGTTTTATGAGACAAAAGATAAAATGCAAATTTTCAGCCCAGACTTTCATCGCTCTCTTTCGAATGTGTTAAGTCAAGCTCATCTAATGGATTAGTTCCGCCTTATTACTCGGGCTACCGTAGTCGAGGTTGCCGTAGGTAGACGGAGTTATAAAATGGGCTCGGTTTTTTCTTTTGCGTCGCGAGTTTACAAAAATCACGCGTGGGCGGCACGAATTCTTCGAACCAATCGAAAACGTCCTAGGATCGTTTCTCGCGCGGGTGTCACGAACATGCCATGTCACTACGAGATAACTGTAGCCCGAGTGATCCGTGATCGCCTGAGTAGGCATCTTGTTGTTTATATTTCAAAGAAAAGCGATCGCAAAAAGTCGATCAAGCGACATTTTGCACCGTCTGGAAATCCGCCTTAAGCCTAGTTTCGATGTGAGGTCGTTGTCTTTCGCTACCTGTCGTTTGGAGTAACCTTGAAAGACCAATATACCGATACAGAAAACCGAAACGACAGTGTCGTTGGGATAGAAAAACCCCATCTCAAAGACGTTAATAACGACAAGAAAACGACAAAATTCTGGTCAAAGCGGTCCGGTGACATACAGAAGAATCTAAAATTTATAACAAATAAGTATGGAATATTTTACTAAGTAAAAAAAACTTATATGAGCATAAACAAATTTAGTTGAAGAAGAAACTCCTTGCAAGGGCTCCTTTTTGTTTTTTGGTATAGTGACGATGTACGAAACTGTCGTTTCGGTTTTTCTTTGTCGTTATCGGTCTTTCAAGATTACTCCAAAGACTCCGAAAGACACGTAGCGACAGATAAAAACCTTATGGAAACTAGGCTTCAGTAAACAAAGTAAGCGCAGCACGCGCGCGAGTATCACACGTGCATTGCTTAAAAAAGGGAATTAGAGTTTGTAGTCTTTTTTATAGTATTCTCCAAATTGTAATTCTAATATAACAATAGAGTTGATGTTCGCGGGCATAAATGTGTTTTTGGCCCGACTCCGAACTCATTTTAGCCCGAGCGTAGCGAGGGTTAAAATGTGTTCTGAGGAGGGCCAAAAACACATTTATGCCCAAGAACATCAACTCTATTACTATGATTAACTTTAAAGGGCAATTTTTATATAAAAAAACTACGCAATGGGGAAACACTTCATTCAATTTGGCGACAATACTTGCAGATTTATTTCAACATTGTACCGTTATAAGTAAATAAAATTCTACTGCAGTAGAAAATAGTTAAACAGTTCAAAATAACAACAATTTCATTCTAGCTTCTCTTAACATTAAAAAATAACTAGAGTCATTTAGCAGAATTAATATTAATAACACAATTGTTAAACTGACAGTTCGCTAAAATTTCCTGCACTGAACGGGTTTCGTTTGAGGACGAAGACAGACTGACATTTAATCCGGTATCGTTGACCGAAGTAATGTGGGCATTTTCTTCACAACCCAGAGATTCGCCTGATGTAAGTGCACGACTGAGGATACCGGAACAAACACGTTTCTGTGAACTTGAGCTATCGTTGATATAAGAATTCAAGCTTTGTTCGTTTCTGTGCTTCGTAATGGCGCAAATTTGCTTGGCATCCACCCCGGCTTGATGCAGACTTGTTATAGTCGAGGCCCGTACACAGTGTATTTTTTCCCATTGGCTCGTTCTTGAACCAGCAAATCCCTGACATATCGAAGTTTAGCAGTGGAGTTTGAAAAAGTGCTTTACAATCCGGATGAAGTTTTGTGAGCATAAATTTTAGTGCGGCTATAGGATCTAGTTTTGAACCTGGTATTTCATACATCCTTACATCTGAGTAATCTTGGTCTTTTTGTTTATAGCCGCCTTGGTGGTTCTTGGTCTGCTCTGTGTGCTTAATTATAACATATTCTTTATCTTGGTCGTCCTTGTTAAACTCGAGGGAATCTTTCGTCAGGTCACGCCAACCTTCCCTGCCTCTTCTGCCCAAATAATAGCACAGACTAAACCACACAAACTCAACGAGCTTTTCAGGACTTTCACACGAAAAATAAGACTTTAGTTTTTGCATATCTCCACTTTCGATTGGGCTCTTGTGCTTTGGCTTCGGATTTCCTTTCTTGTAATACGACTTGCAAACAGCTTCGAACATTTTGTTCGCTTGCAAAAATTCGGGATCTTTTAGTATGTTGATGGGTCTTGAAATGGGGTGGCTTGTAATTTTGCGGTGAATAGCTGCTCGAATACCAGTCAAAGCACTTGGTGTGAGATCCTTTTTGTCCTTTTTGGTTTTTACTTCTGCATAAAATCTCCTCAAAATACCGCTCAATTCAGTAGCGTCTACGACAGCAAGGTCACAAACAATCCGTCTCCTTTGGCACCACTGCTCGAATTTACTAATGGCCCACAACGTTTCTTTTTCGTATTTTTCGGTACTGAGTCCTCCTCGAGTTTTTGCAGCTCTTCTTCATCCAACTGCGACGATTGGGAACACATTTCTTCGGTAAATTCTGCCATTTTAAACTATTTTAGTATAACAGTAACACTGACATAAACAAACCGACAAATCGAAAGCATACGAAATGAATTTTTAGCAGCAATGTAAAAACAACCCCTACTTCTGATTGGTTGGATACAACGTTCCCTTTCTTCTGATTGGCTTAGATCAGCGGGCTAAAATATTTTTTTTAGCCCGGCAAATTTATCATTTTAGCCCGTATAATACACCACAATGCCCGTCAAAGTTAATATAATAAGTATTTTGTTGTTTATTATTGTAATTTCACTAATTTGTATGGTAAATTTCTTTGTATTAATTGAAAGTTGTATGTAAACCAAAACTACGTACGGCCCGATTTTTGGTGGACTGTTCAGACAACCCGATATTTTTTTGACGGGCTTAGGGGGGAGGTAGGTGGCCTGCGTAAAGAAACGTAATGGTGTTTCAACCATAAACAAATTCCCAAAATGAGATTTAAATCAATGGGTTTAAATGGCTGACGAGGAAGCTAAGAAAATTGCTGCTGCTGCTATCTTGGTTGCCGTTACGTTGTGGTGAAAAGAAGAAAGGCACGCAAAGACAGGAAACGTAATATGTGGCAAAAGAGTTGGATTGCCAGAAGAAACGAAAGAGGCGCTTATCACGCCCTCGTCCAAGAAATGAGGCTCGAAGACGAAGAAAGCTAACGAGGGTATTTGAGGATGGACACAAATACATTTGAGGTATAAGCCAAGCCAAGTTAAAAGATATGTGTTTTTAAATTTTCTTTAGTATCAGTTTCGTGTTGGGAAGTCAACAATTTCTGCTTTGATACCTGAGGTGTGCAATTTATAACCAACTTTGAAGTGAAGTTCTTCGTAACACCAGAACTATCAGTCAATCCGGGAGCAGTGAAGTTCTTCGTAACACCAGAACTATCAGTCAATCCGGGAGCAGCAGCCATGTATGTTATCTAATTTTTCGCACCAAATTAAATTTGGAAAGTATGGAGAGTGAAAACGTTTCAGACGTTATGAAAACGTTTCAGACGTTTTTAAACAGGGATAATGTGAAGCCTTGCCGTTTCGGTAGTCCAACGTGCAGTGTAATATTATCCCAACACGAGGAATATATTGTCATAGATTGCTTGCATCCGAACCAGCTAGTTTTTGTTGACGAACCAGACATTGTAAGTATATGACACCATTTTATTTCCTTGTATTTAAAAGTCACAACAGAGTGTGTCTCTTATTCAATGTCCTTTAATTCGTGTTACTGTAAGGCAAGCAAATAGTTCAGCAATATGGATATAGTGCTCGAGGAACGAGACCTGTTGTTAGACCTGTTGAGACTTATATATATATACTTGTACTTGTAATTTTTGTACAATTCATATATGTACTTTTACTCTTAATTGAGCCATGTGTTCACTTGTGGGGTTATAGGGAATACGTGTTTTATATAATGCCATCTTAATACAGTAGTCAGTAGATACCAAAACATCCTTTAAAATACCTTATATTTCAACAATTCAGCTGTCAGCTTATTTCCCAATTTTAATCAACTGTTCGCGTTCTTTTGTTAATCCATTAATCCGTTGAGCAGCTTGACTTCTTAAAAAAAAGGAAAACGTTTAAAATTCAAATCTTGGCTAAGTAGTTCAGAATTTTATGAAATGAATTTAGGGTCTCTTATGTGTTGATGAGAAATTTTAGGTTTTCCCGCCGCAATCAATTTCAGTTTTGGAAAAGATCATAATTTACCAATTGTGAACGAGTTGGAATGAAATATATCTACGTAGACTTTTTAACGTCGTAGCTACCATAGCGTCATAGCTATACTATAGCGTCATAGCTATACTATAGCGTCATAGCTATATCACGCCATTTCAGGTGGATCAAGACAGCAAGGGATAGGCATTCTATATATGGTCTAACAACCGACAGTGGTTGGGTTCCATCACAATTTATATATACATTTCAATTCAGTAGATTTAGAAGGTTCTACGTTCTTAAGATTCTAAACACGAATAAAGATAATATTTCAAAAGCGTCAGAAAGTACACTCACCTTTCTCTCGAAGGTCTTGTATAAACTGACTTTCTGGATTGTACGTATTCAAAGGTTTTCCGTGACTGGCAAGATCCAATTTTAATGCATGCTGACAACTGCAGAAAAGCAACTCCAATAAGAAAAAGCAATCATCTCCTGTCTGTCACACAATTCTTGACTAGATGTTGCTAATACTTCTATACCTGCGGTAGTTTATCTGCGACAAACATTAACCAATATTTCATAAACAATCTCTGCACGAACTCGACTTTCGGTCTAATTACACCGAATACAAAAATTTCGGACATTACGCTCTCAAAACAGATAAATATCAAACAATTATCATGCAGTAATTCTTCGCCTGTAGGCCGTGTTACACCCTCACTCATCGAGTGCGACAACCAAATTTTGTTATCACTGATCAAAGAGAAAGTAATTTCTTAATCGATAAAAAGATCTAAGGTAAAACACTGAAAATAAAGCTCTTATTCGAGTGGAAATACCGCCTTGGGAATGTTATGACTTAGATTGAGATCTCCACTAAAGGCCGTTCGAGTGAGCTTTTAGAATACAGGCATAAGGCTGTCACAACTGATATCTTAGGTTTAGCATTATAGCTGCTCGCTTTGTTACTCAGTGAATCTCCCAGGATGTTACTGACATCCGGTTGATACCTAATCAAATCCTCTCTTAACTGCTTGCGGTTTTAAAAGTACATATAAATTTCGTTCGATCTTGCATTAACCAGCAACACGGTAGAGTACAATTGAAAGTGAGTTCACCGTTAAGCTTCAGACTGTGATACATTTACACGTTTAATTTGTTTTAATGTTATATACCTAAAGAATGTCTTTATTATTTCCATTTTGCATCTGCGATCTAGTTATTTAAAAATATCATCGAACTTACCTGGTTTATTATAATGATACGGCATCAATATTTCTCTCCAAACCCGTTTTGTAAAATTGGTCAGCCTGTTGTCTTGCTTGGGTTACCGGCAGCTTGAGATCAGAGTTCTGCTGCTTCAAAACATTCATTTCTTCGCTGGCCCGACGATTCTCTGTTGTCAACTGATAGTGAAGTTGATCAATGTTTAGTTGCTTCTGACGAACCTGGAAAGAGAAAGAGCGTTGATCATCAATAATCGACACAGCTTTCTAAAATCCATGCAGGAATGTAGCACTCGAATACCAGCGCCATTTACACTATAGACTAAATTTATCGGCACGGCACAGATAAAATTGTTACCAGTGCCCAGTTCTATTAAGTTTTCAGGCTGTATATACAGGGTGTATCAAAAAATGTCCCAAATGTAAAATTTCCGTTTTTCAGGATATTTTGCAGAATTTGGCAAATTTTTGTGTTCCTAGAGATAGTTAAGACTTATCTGGTATATCTAGGCAAAGTTTGGTTTTTCATTAACAAAATTATGTTACCGGGGGGGGGTTCCTTTCCACTGATATTGAGAGGGCTTGCGCGTGAAAATGTGAAGCTGAAATTGAGATATTATTTAGCTGTATAAGAGTAGGAAAGCTTTTTAATAAAGTTTCAGGAAAAATAATACATACTGGTAGCAACGCGCGACCCCTAAAGGTGACAAATATTTCATTGCGCGCAGTGGATTAAATGCATCGTTGATTTTAGCGTGACCGATCTCATGTAAGGCTGGGCAAATGAATAAATTAAAGCGAGAAACTGAACACAAAAACAAAGCGATTTATTCGTGATGTTAACCCTCAGCATGTCCACCATTTCATTCTACGCTTGTCTGAGCATGCTAAACACTGAACAGTGGACCGTTTGTCTGTCCATTCGCCTAGATTTGCCGGTGGTAGTGTAGGCGATTTGCAAGAAAGAATTTCGAACGAAATGGATAATTTGAGGCAAGACAGACAAATGGTTCGCCGTTCAGTGTTTACCATGCTCACACGAGCCGCAGTTTGCTTAGAAAGAAATGGTGGAAATGTTGAGGATTAACATCACGAATAAAAATCTTGTTATTAAATCGCTTCGTCTTCTTGTTTCGTTTCTCGCTTTAATTTATTCATTTGCCCACCTTGTATGAGATCGGTCACGCTAAAATCAACCATGCATTTAATCCACTGCTTGCAATAAAATATTTGTCACTTTTAGGGGTCACGCGTTGCTCCCAGTTTGCATTATTTTTCCTGAAACTTTGACAATTTATTAAAAAGCTTTCCTACTTTTAGACAGGTAAATAATATCTCAATTTCAGCTTCATATTTTCGCGCGCAAGCCCTCTCAATATCAGTGGAAAGGAACACCCCCCGGTAACATAACTTTGTTAATGAAAAACCAAACTTGGCCTAGGTACCAGATAAGTCTTAACTATCTCTAGGAACACAAAAATTTGCCAAATTCTGCAAAATATTCTGAAAAACGGAAATTTTACATTTGGGACATTTTTTTGATACACTCTGTGTATATATAATATAATATATATATATATATATATATATATATAATATAATATATATATAATATAATAATATTAATTATATATTATATATAAGTATAAATGTCAAGGAAACAAGGCAAATTACTCAAGAAAACTATATCACCAGAGAAAAACTTACTGTGTTACCAGTTTTGCCCAGTTCATGGAAACAAGGCAAATTACTAAGAAAACTATATCACCAGAGAAAAAACTTACTGTGTTACCAGTTTCGTAAGGTTTTTAGCTCGGTTATTAAGCCTTAGACTACATTTGCAATAGCGACTTACTCGTTTAGCGTTGGCCAACATTTCTTCTTTTTCCCGAGCAAAGCGATCCAATTCGGCATGTTTCCTTTTAAAATCCTCCTGTAAGTTGTCTCCCATTCTCCTCATATTTTTCCAGTTGTGCTTCGAGATCTGTGACCTTATACTTATGAGTGTTTTCCAAATCAGAAAGCATCCAATCTTTTTCTTCAAGCACTTCTTCAGCTCCCGAGTTCTCAGTTCTCTCTTGTCGAGTTCCTCTTTACATCGACGACTATCACATCGCATTAACTCCAGTTCTTTTGTTAAACTTCAGATCTAAAAAAACCTGTCAATTATTAAAGACAAGTGACAATGATCGACAAACCATCCCACAAAGCACTTTCTAGATATGTACTTTAAACCAAAAGCCTAATTTATGACGGGCAATTAATTTATACGTTTGGCTCGGTAGTCTCGTTTGACCAAATGCACTCGTTTAAGCATCTAGACTACATAGGTAAAATTTAGCTCAGAGAGCGAATTCCTAAATTCGTCAAGAAGTTAGGGAAAAAGCGAAACCTTGTTGGTAGCAAGATAGTTTAACTGAGGAAAACAGTTACACACACACCTTGTATGTTTACAATGCACACATGTAATATTCTTAGTATTAGTCATCACAAAATGGCCTTAAACAACTGGTCTATGTGGTGAAATAGTTTAAAGCCACAACATGTAGTGTTTAAAGTGCACAGGAGGTTTTTTGGAGAGAGATGAAAAAAAGGTCCAAGGAGAAGGGAGCTTCAGTAATAAAATGGTGGTAATATTGTATTTGAGGTATATATTGGCAAATGGAAAGCATGCAGATAGGCCTGTAATAGTTGTAATGAGTATAAATTATTACCTTAAGGTCATTTGACAATAAGAGACTTCTTGTTTCATCCAGTTTTGATCGATATTCTTGTTCTCTTTTTCTTATTGCTTCATCAAAATTACTGACATTTTCTGGATGACGAAACTCACAATCTTTTTCTGTTGCTCTAAAAAATCAAAATGTTGATTTTTAACCAATATTTTAAAAAATGCTTTATTAACATAATCACTGTAACTCATTGTTAATTATAGCCTCAGTAAGTTCTCAAAGTTCATAATTGCACATTGGCATACATTGCATGTAATATATCTCTACTTCACATCAGTTCTGCTTGTAACAATATGGGTAGACTACTTGATTTAAAATTTCTGAAATTTAGCACTTTTTTTACTTTTCGGAACATAAACTCCAGCTCTCATTTAGAACTATAGCAAACCAAAATAGTGTCAACTATTCTGACTGCTCTTGATATTTTTAGAAATGTAGTGAGTGAAAATGTAAACAAGGTGTTTGTTTAAACATGGTTTACATTAATTAGCATCAGTGTACTCTATCTTTAGAGTTCATTAATTATGATCACCTAAAATTTAAATGTCTTTAAGAGCTCTGATGGTATTCCAGTTACAAACAATGATTGCATGAGGTGAACTAGATTACCTTAATTGTAGCTCCAGATTTTTCCCATAAGACGAAAGCTCCTCCCGTTCTTTAGCAACTACATTATCTTTCTCTTCTTGAAAAGCTTTAAATTGATTCTGATATTCTTGCAATCTCTAGACATAATTAACCATATCATTTGTTGAACATATCAGAATTAAACATATAGCTAGTGAAGAAAGACAAGCAGAAGAGAAAGCTTGCAGCTCAGCTGCAGCTATTCTGGAACAGTTCTAATTATGCTTAATGGCTGCCCAGTTTGTTCTCAGTCAATTACAGGGTTGCTTTTGTTGCTAGCATATCACAGGATAAATTTATTCTTGCACATATGTACACGTATACAGCACAACTATATGTAACGATTGAAATTCAACAAAACTTCATAAACCTTATCGGAGGACTAACTACATAAGGCAACGAAAGGAGTGCCCCAATTAGTGAAAAATTGTTGCCTGCTTCTTGTCATAACAAAGTAAAGTGGGTTTCTTTTTTAAATAAAATTGTTGTGTAACATTTATGTTTTCGTTCCTATACAACAAAACACTTAATGTACACTACCTTTGGAAATAGTGAGTTATGTTTTCCCTTCAGTCAGACTCTTGGAAAAACAAAATTCACCATTTCCCTCGGGAGCATACATTAAGTGTATATTACACAATTGTAACTTCTCTTCATGTAAATATAAGACAGTTAGCTTTTATATATTTATCTTTTATCAAATGTAATTAATTTCATCTTCACAATTTAATATTAGACACCAATGTCACTATGTTCAACTATATTGCACCAAGCCATTGCAACTAGGGGTTTAAATTAAAAAGCCTGTTAAAGGTTTTAACAGACTCCTAGCTCAATTAATTTTATCCTGTTTTCATTTAAATATT